ATCGCTTCTTGAATCGGGTCCATGGTTGTGGAGTTATGACGCGTTGAAGTTGGGACGACGCGCAATGTTGGGATGGTGGGGTGGCTCGTTACGCGACCTGGCTCGTCACGCGGCCATTTAGTGTATGTGCCGCTGTGGATCCGCTTAAGCAGCCTTAGACTCGCTTGCTGCCTTCCGAGAAGGCAGCCACCCGTTGACCGTTGAGTCCAGATTCAATGTTCCCTGTCGAATGGGTTGGCCGTTCTCATAGAAAATTGCTCCTGCTCCTGCTATATACCATAGCTGTTGCGGTGCGCCTACGTTCGTTCGACATTCTTAGGTCACCAGTCTGATTCCCAGTACCATGGTCCAGCATACCGGTTGTGTGACATCTATCGATGCGCTCTCTACGCAGGAGCCTGACTTCATCGTCATTGGTGGCGGGATTGGTGGTTTGGTCGTTGCAAACCGTCTGAGTGAAGATGCCGAGAAGAAGGTACTCTTGATCGAAGCGGGAGCCAATCGTAGAGGAGACCCCAAAATCGACACGGTTGGTATGTTATCAACGCTGTATGGAGACCCCGATTATGATTGGGACTTTATGACCGAGCCCCAGGTGAGTTACGTGTTACGATGCCACGTCGTCTGGTGAAGGATTGACCGAGACTGACAATCACCTTTGGAGATGCACGTCAATGGTCGGCAAATCCCACATCCACGAGGAAAAGTTCTCGGTGGATCTTCAGCAATCAACTTTGGTGCAACTGTATATCCTTCAAAGGCCGATTTCGAATCTTGGGAGGCACTCGGCAATGAGGGCTGGGGTGCCACCGGAGTCGCGCCATACCTTCGCAAGTTCAGTCGTTTCACAGCACCGAGTGCAGAAACGAAAGAACTCCTGAGCATAGATTATATCAATGAGGAGTTGCACGGTAAAGACGGCCCTGTTCCAGTAACAATTCCGGACGTTTATGGGCCTTTCCAGGCGTCATGGGTCAAGACTCTGGATAATCTTGGCTGGTGCAATTCAGATGATCCTATCGAAGGCGAGAAGCTGGGCACATTTGCTTGTGGGCTGTCCATTGATGCAGAGACAAAGACCCGCGGCTACGCTGCGTCGGCCTACTATACCCAACAAGTTGCGGAAAGACCTAACCTGGAAGTATTGACAGAAACATTCGTCGAAAAAATACTTACCAATGTTTGTGACGGCTCCGTACAAGCGATTGGGGTAAAGATTCGAACAAGGAGTGGGGTACACGAAATCACGGCGAAGAAGGAAGTCATCCTCTCCGCAGGCACCATTCAATCACCACAAGTTCTTGAGCTTTCCGGTATCGGCCAAAAGGAGCTTCTCGAGAAGCATGGAATTCCGGTGGTTCTTGACAGTCCTGGTGTCGGCGAGAACCTCCAGGACCATGCCATCTCGGCGCCTTGCTTCGAGATTGCGGATGACCAGTTCTCGGCAGATATAATGCGCGATCCAAACATCGTACAGGCCGTGCTCCAACAGTACATGTCCACCAAGACCGGCCCACTTGTTGGTATTCCGATCAGTGTGACCATGCTTCCGCTCATCGACTCTGATGGCCGCGTCAGTCACGATGAAATTGCCCAAATGGCGAGGCAGTGTGGCGAAGACAAAGACTTGCCTCTTTGGCAAAAGAGACAATACGAACAGCTCGAGAAGCAGATATCAGGCCCGAATGAGGCAGCTGGATATGCGATGATGCTGCCACTGCAGTTGAACATCTCTGCGGGAGCTACGCAGATGAAGGAGCTACTTGCGCCATCGAATCCCAAGAACTTCATCACCATAATGGCGGTCAACAACCATCCCTTCTCTCGTGGCTTCTGCCATATTCGATCCGCGGATCCGAAAGAGAAGCCGATTCTAGACCCAAAATATCTTTCTCATCCCCTGGATCTCGAGATACTTGCCCGGTATACGCAATACATCGAAACCATTGTCAAGACTGAACCCTTCGCTTCGTTGCTCAAACCTAGTGGGCGATTGCCGGACGGCAAGCGAGCCACGGATCTAGATGCGGCGAAAGATATCGTCAAGGAGCGATTGCTGAGCACCTTTCACCCCACGGGTACATGTGCCATGATGCCCAAGGAACTCAACGGTGTCGTCGATAGCAGACTGAAGGTACACGGGACAAAGAACCTGAGGATTGTGGACGCATCGATCTTTCCAATGGAAACGTTGGGAAATATCCAGGCAACAGTGTATGCGGTGGCGGAGAAGGCAGCTGACCTTATCAAGCAGGACTGGAAGAAGTAGTAGTAATGTTCGTATGCAATTAGCTGCCTGAAATTGACAAACAGCCGCCCCCGAAGCCGACAACCCGTAGTCTGGTAGCCTAGGGTGGCGAGGCTCAACAGGGGAGATACAGTATATATTCGACAAATGAAGATCTCTAAATTCAAACACAAAAAGAAGAAGTAATCGCTTTTAGATGGTGGAAGTATCAAAAGAAGACGTAACTAAACATAACGAACATAGTGTCAACAGATGCGCATGCCCAGCCACATTTCGGCTGTTGCTCGTACATAAAAAAAGGAGGAATTGGCTACAGAATACATGGCGTCTATATAGTGGTATAAGTCGTGAAAAAAGCAAATAAACCCCAATACATGAAGCTGTCGAAGTAGGCTTATTCGATCTCGGAAAACTGAAGGGTTGTGTCGATTGCATTGCGGCCGCATGACATGCCGAACGCAACGTCTTTGCTGGACTGGAGGAGCTTCCAGGCGGCGATTAGCTCGTCTGTCTTTTCATCGTGGCCAGCACCTTGCTCCAGCGCCTGCAAGATTGCCTTAGTCTGGTATGTCCACCAGTAGATACCACCGTGTTCTTCTGCAAAACGACGTGTCATGCCATATGCTGGCTGACTAGTTCGAATAACTAGTTCAAATTGGAGGGTTGAAGCCTGTAGCCATGGAAGAATCATCCTCGTGTCACAAAACCAACCATCAACGCCGATGGTCAGGACAGTAGGTTCAATACCTGCTTGATTAGCCGCTTCAATATCGCTGACGATCGCCTGGGTAAACTTGAATGTTCTGTGCTGCTTGATCATGTGGCTCTGCGAACTCGCCAGAAAGCTGTCATCGAGAGCGGGCGCTGGAATATACCGCGTGGGCACGTCGTAGCAGCTATGGAGAACAGCAGATCCACCGGTATACCCACTCCACGCCGCGTAGTGATTGAGATATCGACGCCCAAGCATCGGTAGGCCCTCTTCGATCGTATCCGCATTGTCTTTCCAACTCTCAGGTGCTTTTGCGGAAGATCGGTTCACGATGATTACGCTTGGAGGCGCACCATCAACGGCGGACGTGGTTAGTGCAAACCGGAACGATGATACACGCTGGCGTGGAGGCACTCCTTGGCACCGCTCTAAGTGCATTGCGAGGTTGATGGCGGTTGGTTGATAGAATTCTAGCTCGATGTTTGGTCTGAGACCATTATCACGAGGATGGATCTCGTCGTTGATGTCTAAGTTTGCGCAGGCTTACGTATGGTCAGCTGTCGCGTTAGGTGGATAGGTAAGATAAGAGGTAGCTGGCAGTGCAACAGGCAGCAGTCGACAGTCACGTTCGCGCGCTAAAGTAGCGTCGCACGGTCCAACTGCTGCGTGTATATCAACTCGGCTTTCCCACGTCCCTCAGTCTCTCACCAGCTTCCTTTGCCATTCTGGCTTAGATCAAGTGTAGTATCTGTTCTTTATAGTTTAATCGCTATAATGCCACTACGGTGGCTTTCCGATTATTCGTATTTTTGTAATAAGACCTTGGGTCCTGAGCTTGCTCACACCCAAGGCCATAGTGTCGCCAGTATCCATGCACTACTTCTGGCCGACGCGAACTTTTTCATTGAGCGTTCTCGCTTGCGAGAACCTTGAGGAAGAACATGAATGCTATCCATGACCCATCACTCCAATGGCTCGGCGCGACACCAATTCGTAGCAGCGCGCACAAGATTGACTAGCCTAACACGTCCTACTGCAGTCTTAGCGCCACATGCACCGACCATGAAACTTTGACATCGTGCTGGTCATCACTCTAATTCCCTCACAGGCGTCTTTTCAAACTAACCTCCTCCAAAAATGAGTGATACAAGGCCAAAGAAGAAGCGGAGAGGTGGACCTCGTAGTAGAACAGGTGTGTACCATTAAGCTTGCGTAGAGTCATGCTCAAATATGCTGATTCCATCAAGGTTGGTACGTTGTTATCAATGTGAGAACCTCGACTTCAGACTGATTGCCTTGGTCCAGCGCCACCTGCAAACGCCGCCATACACGCTGCGACGAGAAGAAGCCCGTGTGCGGAAACTGTGAACGCCTGAATCTCGATTGCGAACCATCCGAAGAGGTGGCGTGGGCTGCTTCGCAAAGTGATGCAATACAGGACGAGCCAAACAATGACGCGATGAATGATGCGCCGTTGCTCGTTGACGTCTTCAGGACACGTATGAATGATCTTGACCTCCCGGGAGACTCGTTATTAGGTCAGAATTACATACCCGTGACTGGAATTACACCACCAGGACCGACCGAGACGAACGGTCGGAAGAAGATACGCTTGACTCCGGAGAGCGCGTTTCTACTGCAAGCCTATGTGCGCACCGTAGCTACCTGGATGGACATCTTTGATCATAGTAGCACCTTCCAGCATAAGATTCCACAGCTTGTCCTGGCATCACCGCTCTTGTTCCATTGCGTGTGCGCCTTTACTGCAAACTACCTAGCGCTTTCAAACTCGAGCCATGACCCTTCTTGGCAAGTCACGGCTAGGAAGCATTATGGAGAATCGTTGCGTCTGCTGATAGATGCCTTGAGTGTGCCATCGCACGAACACGCGCTGACCGCAAGTATGCTACTCTTGAGCTACGAAATTCACGGAGCTTTGCGCTCCGAAGACTATCGCCGTCACTTTCTAGGCCTGACGATACTTATCAAGTCGCGACATGTCACTGCACAGTCGAGCGGGACGGATCTTGCGAATTTCTGGATCTATATTCGGCACGAGATTGTAGTAGCCATGGCAAGCGAACAGCCACTAATACTAAACCCTGCAGAGTGGGAGGTATCTTGGATTGAGGGCGAGACTAGAGAAGATGTGCTCGGCAACCATGTTCTCTGGATACTAGCAAGAGTAATCAATCTCATCTTTGGACCGGACGGACGAACAGCAGCTGGTAAAGAACAACGCCAAAACTTCTTGCACGAGATCGAAATGTGGCGACAGGGACTCTCCGATACCTTTGTGGGTATTGGATATGGTGACAAAGACACAGATGGCTTTCGTAAAGTGTACTTCCCTGTTGCTGCCGCTGCCGCTGCAGCCTTTTGTGCGTACATGCGTGTTTTGGATATTCGATGCGTTCTGACATATCCAGGGTATCACATAACACATATTCTTCTCTACGCGGAGCCAGAGCTTCAGGATGAAGCCTATATACCTCTAATCCAAGAGCAGGCTATGAGAATTACTGACATAGCCATATCGGATTTCCCTCCAGCGTTGATGGTGTTCTCTACGCATGGTTTGTTCTATGGTATGTTGTCAAGCATCTTTCCAGTCTCGGAATTCACACTAACTCTCTCTACAGCTGCGAAACATATTCACGGCATATCTAGGAAGGCAAGAATCTGGAACATACTGAACGAAGTCGAGCGTCAAACCGGATACAATACAGGAACGACTGTAAGGCTCCTTCAGACTCTGGTTGAAGAAGATGCACAACGCCGCAGCGGAAGCATGCCATGAGCTACACGGACCACGCCGAAGATGCTCCGATCCAAGTGTCTGACTTGTAACTCTAAAGCGCGACTGCGCATGGCCCGTATCTTCCGAATTCCTTCTCACCCATGTACCTGGATATCATCCGGTATCGGAACGAACTGTCTTGTCGATCAGCTGCAGGCTCAAGCGAGGCCATCATCCGATTGAACACAACGACAAAACTTTCGGAAATGATGGTGGTGGTTATGGTGGGCTGTCAAGACGTTTGGCCTATCGCTTGCCTCAAACGAAGCCACAGCGGTAAAGCTTCAGACCCATAGCGCGTATAGCACATCTGCTGCTGGCAAACATCAACATCACCAACGTAGTTTCCCAAGCTCAACACGAACTCCGATGAAGTGAGCCACGCGTTGTCCTAGTAATAAAATTAACTAGGACAATCCGTCGTCAGATCACGCTTATAGCACTCATCTTGTTGAATATCAATTCCACAGACTGAAAACAAGATCCGGAACTTGGAATCTGGGATTTGGGACGTGGGATTCGATTTGTGACACTGCGAGCTTCGCCACCCGCACAGCCCACAAAGTCGGATGTAGGCAGCAACACAACCCGTCGAAATATGTACCCTGTTCAAACAAGCGACTGGGCATCGCATATCAGTATCCTTTTCGAGACATTTGTGAACATATCGCATGAATTTGCTCAGCTCTTGGATATCGTCTACGCCACAACTTCGTTTATGCGCGGGTAGTCCCTCAGGGCCTCAGCCATTTGCGACAAACCGTTTCGCGCAGCCTCCACCAAAGCATCGATAACAACTCTTCAATATATTTGCCACTCCAGCCAGTTTCTGGCACGCCATTTTCATTCCAATATAGTTCATGATGGCACCTTTACTCAACTCTCAAGACGACCGTGCAGCGTTCGTTGATGCTTGCATCGATAAGCGCAAAGTAGCAATGGATGTTTGGGAGTCACTTGGTTTGACTAGCGAGAAGAGTGATGATTCACAAAAAGGGTATTTCGTCAGGAAAGAAGCCAACGAGCTGCAAGAAGCGATTGAGCAGATAGCAAAGCCGGTCGCTACTTCCTATCGTGGCAAACTGGTGGAGTTGAAGTCCTACCTGGCGGATGAGTATGTCTTCTCCGATGACGTTTCCAGGCTCGGAAAGGAGTACGGAGCAAAAATATGGGGTCGCATGGAGGACGGCGAGATACGTTCGTCAGGTCAATCTCAAGGAAAGGGAATTGAAGAACATGACTGGGATGACACCACAGATTGCACGAAGTAAGTTTCCGGTTGCATTGCCGCGAGTGACTTTGTTGACCCAATTGCAGCATTCTCTTTTACTTCCGCTGCTGGATCATATGCATTGTCGTAGCTCCACGAAGAGCAAAAGGAAAAGGTCGAGGCCGAGAGTCAGGTCTAACCGAAGACCATCGCAATCATGTCATTATCGATCTCTCTGAGCCTGATAGCCCTGTTACTCCAGGCATCTCGTTCCGGGCACCGGAGCCGCCGCGCATGTACCCGACGTCTGAATCGCGCAGAGAGGCGGATAAAACTCCAGGCACTTCTCTGAGTTCCGCGACGCATGTGAGAAGCAACAACAGCAACACGACACCAAGCAAGAGGAAAGCGCATGATTCCCATGAACGGGCGCCTTTGGGGAAGCTTCCAAAGCCGTCAAAGAGCGCTCGGACGGTTCCAGTACTTGCACAACAACGAGATACCTACTCGATCCCTGACACCCCTCCGGCGTTTTCGAATCCAGTAAACTCGTCATTGGAGAGACGAAGAGAGACAACACAAGATACAGATGCGACGTATATGCCTCGAGGAGTCACGGCGGACACCGAGACCATAGTCGGTGACGAAGAAATACATAGTAGAGAAGTCGGTAGGTCCAGCGACCCGAGAAAAGACCAAGCATTCGAGCTAACCTAGACACCAGACTTCTGCCTACAGAATGTCATTGCTATGGCCTGTCAGGACGAGATGCAGTACGAATATGAAGACGAGAACGCCGCTGGCCCATCGGGTACCTATCTGAACCCCCTCAGGCAGGACTCTGTCATTCCACATGATACGCAGACACAGAAAGATATGAGAGAAAATGATGGCCAACCTGGTCAGGATGACGACACATCCAGCGATGCATACAATGACGCGATCATACGCTCTCTCATCTCCGACTCCTCACATGAAACCAGGCAAAACCGCATTTACCGCCTTGAGCTTATCCGACTTCTCATTTCCTATCTTGATGGCATCAATGAGTTTGACTCCACTAGCTACAACTTCGCCGCTGAAGAACGCATGAACTTCCTACTTAACCATCTCCAGTGCACTGAGGCAGAGATATGGCATGCCAATCATAGCAACAGTGCGATTCGCTTGGGCCACACACTGGAGCGTTGGATGGGTATGCGTCACCGCTTAAGCTCTTTCCGCAGCGCAACGGGCTACTTCGGTCCGCCAGGTCAGCAGTGGGAAGAGTTTCTGCGAGGTATGAATAATATTCCACACGCGAGGGCTATCTTAGCTTTTGTGGAATTGAAGAATGACGGAGTGTTGGAAGAGGGGAAAGGAATTGGTGCTGGGCATGGGTTCAATGAGGATCTCATGGTGATGTTTGATTTGCTTACAAGTATAAAGGGGTGTAATGGCCCGGACGCGTTCAAAGGTGTGAAGAAGTTCAATGAGGGATTGTGGAAGTGGTTTGACGATTCTGAGGAGAACTGAACGGATGGCAGGACGGGGATGGCGACGACGCTGATCATGACGACGATGTGAACGATTTTTTTCTCTTGTACTAGTAGATCTCCAGCTTCCAACTAAGACGTTCTTATATTCCTTCACGACGTAATAAGCAAGTTTTTTCAGTATCTTGGAATGTTACTGGATTGAATGCTCTAAAAGGGAATCTAATATGCCAGTTTGAAAAACACGCATAGACTCAAGGAAACTGCAGCTTATGCTTCCCCATCGAATCTGATCCGTCCATGGTATCTCTGATGCCGCCACTTTGTTTCTTCCAGCTACCCGTACCACAACGCCCTATGTGAAACTCCATTTTGTGAACCTCAAGCTACCACGGGGTGGTCGTCCATGCCAGTATAAACACCGTTTGTGAATTTCCTTACAACGCCATGTATATGTATGTGTGCTCAAACGCCGTATCATCCGTCATGCTCATGACTGCTCGTTGATGTGACCGTTGGTCGTAGTCATGACAGGTACATGAACCTTGACAGTAGAGATGTGGTCTTGCTCGTCGGTAATGGCCACCTCGGTGGTCTGGCCATCAGGTATCATCTTGTGTTCTAGACTCCAGCCCGCCCTGCGCGCCAATTCGGCCACGATGACATCGCAATCGCCCAGGAGGTTGATGTCAAAGTTGATGTGGTGGATCGGATCTCGCGAGATGTAGATTTGTGGTATGTCGCGGGGTAGGAAGTTTGGAATTTCGGAAACGGGTGCCACTTTCATGCTCGTACCCATTACGATGACGAGATCCACCTTGTCTTTATCGACGTCTTTCAGTCGATCGAAGAAGTCGTTGGGTAGGGCTTCGCCGAAGAAGGTGATGTCGGGCTTCATGATGCCTGGCTGCGGGATGTCGAACGCGCCGTCTGACTCGGAGTCTTCATCGCTCGACCGCTTCTTCCTGGCCCCGTTGCCATTGGACGTCCGCTTGCGCTTCTTGCTTGGCTGCGCAGCAATCTCGTCCTTGCAGCGTTTGCACTCGGCTGGCTTCTGCGCGCGCACACAATCGAAGATGTCCTCGCCTGGCACCTTGAATTTGCATTTTCTGCACGTCGCAGTCGCCCACGAGCCGTGACATTGGATAAGCTTCTCCTTGCGTATGCCGGCATGTGCCTCCACGTTATCAATGTTTTGGGTGTAGTTGGTGAGCAGCTTCTCCTTGTCCTGCAGCAGACGGATGAACTCGTGCGTGGGCGTCCATTTCTCGAGATCGGGTATGATGTCGCCGGCCAGGGCGTAGAAAGTTTTTGGGTTCTCGTCGAAGTTGTGGATGTCAAAGACCTCCTCGGGCTCGTCGAAGCCCATCTCGCGCAGTCGCGAGTAGAAGCCCGTGTTCTTGGAGCGGAAGTCGGGGATGCCGAGGCTCGTGGATATGCCGGCGCCGGTGATGACCATGATGTTGGTGCGTTCGCGCAGCAACTTGGCCGCGTCGTCAATGGTCTTGTATTGGGCCAGCCGCGGGCGCTTGTTCAGTTCGCGGTTGATGGCCAGGCCCAGCAGCTGGTAGAAGTTTTCATCGGGCGCATCTTCGAGGAACTTGGGGATCTTGACGCCAAAGGCGGTACACAGCTTGCGCGCCGTCATCTTCTCGCTGGTGATGTTCTCCATGACGAATGCGCTCGCGCCAATCTGGTGCAGTCGCTGGCGCAAGCGGCGAGCCTCGTCGGCGGTGCACGTGTCTACGCCTATGCGAGTGTCAATGGTGGTTGTGGCGGAAAGCGCCTCCTAGGCCCGACTCACCATCGTCCGAGTACTCAAAGGCTTCCACTTCGTCTAGAATCTCCTCGTACAGGGAGGCTTGGTCCCACGCGCCGCCGTCTTCGTCATCTTGGTCGGGCGCAGGCGCAGGCGCGTCCTCGTCTCTGGATTTGGTCGCGCCTCCCGCTCCTGGTTCCGCCTTGATGCCCGCCGTGGGCGGCGGGGCGGGTTGCTGGGCGACGACGGGTCCCTCTGAGGGATGGGCAGCCATGGTGTTGTCTCCCGCGTGCACTCGCTGTCAACCAGTGTTACAAGTGGAGAGTTGAAGCGAAAGGTGGTCCGACGGGTAAGTTGGAGACACATGGCACTAGGCTCCTTTGGGCCGGGCGGAGATGGCCGCACTTAGTTCGCCAATCCCATATCCCCCGGACTACCTCGGTGGTTGACATCCATGGCTACGCAGCGAGTTGTCGTTGTCTGCTTCGCCAATCTCAGCATATAACAGTATGCAGTATCGACAGAATATGCACGAGCTGCATACCGTGACGCAGCCACCCGGGACTTGACTCCAACAGACAAATCACAGCAGGAATAATGCACCTTTCGGCACGTCGAGCCAATCCTGGGTCGCATCCTCCATTGTCCTGCACGCCTGCTACCTGTCGCTTTTTCGCTCAACATCCTGTAAAAGGCTCTATGCCTGTCATATAATCAAGGTCAAGTCTCTATTTCTTCTCCTTCTGTCGCTCCTTTCTTGACTCTTCATGGCTTCAACTACTACCCTCGCCACCGGGCTGGTCCCTTCTTTGCTTCTCACCACCGGGCGGATGCTGGTTGACAGCCATGACAAGCTTGTACAACCACCTTCCATTCTAGCCTCGCCTAAAAGTCGTCACCGCGGGGTTCCCTTTTTACCCAATCCGGGTCATCCTAGTAACGCCACACCTTCATTGAGCAAGCTAGAATCCCTTCCCGTCGAGATAGTTGATCAGATACTGTCTTATCTCATCTACCCTCGCTGCCGCTTGCCAGGTCTCACCGAGGCTCAGAGCCGATACGACGTTTCGGAACAACAGAAGCGGAGCATCAAGAATCAAGAAGATCTTACCCAGACAGCGGACAGCCATCGTTGGGCTGCCGACATTTTTTCACTGCACTTACTCTCGCATCCCTTCAATTCTCTCTCGCTCACGTCCAGGCGGTGCAATGAGTTCGTCGAAGGGTACTGCTCACATCTCGTGCGGCAATGCAACATGTTCAATCTACCATTCGCCCAGCTGGACATGTATGGCATTGTCTACCCAGATCTAAGTCATATCGTATATCGAAGACTGTGGCTGCAGCGTGCTCCGCGGAGATGTATCTACTGCTCCGCAGTGTTAGACAATTATCCCTTTCCACTGGTCAAACGTGTCATCACGGCTTGTGAAGGGTGCTTCTATCGTCAGACCTTGGTTAGTAACATTCATTCTTAGTTTCTGCTGTCTAAACACATGAGCTGACGAAGAACATCAGACAGTAGACGAAGTACAGATGCAATACCACATCTCCACTGCTACTGTTCTCTCCTCTCGAGACATCAGAGGCAACCATGGTTCAGTGTGGGTCTTACGTGTCGATGTGGAAGAGTTGGCCCTGCAACTTTACCGTACTCGAGAATTTCACAATGCTCGTAAGGAGCAGTTCGGTAAGCCGTGCTCTCTCTGTGCCATCACCAGATTCAGACCAGAGCATCACATTGGCAAGCCACGGCCAGCCCAAAAGGCCGCAGTTCGCTTGATTGCGAAGAAGCGCTCCACGAAGCGCCCAACTCGATCTTGAATTTTGATTTTCAGTTCGGGTTTGTCAGTTTCTCTGCTTACGTTTCCACTTCTTTGTTGATTCTGCATTGTGACCAAGCGAAGGGTCTAATAGGGCGGTGCTGGGTACATAGGGTTCGCACACATAGCTATATTCCGTCAAAACATACATTGCTGCTTCTCCGGTACATATCAAAGAATGACTTCTAGAGAGGTTTGCATACGGCGTGTGCAGGACCGCAGAATGGAGTTCACATGTTAGCGCGTTGGGGTATGCGTCATAGGGCTGAACAACGCGTTCCCTTGCCGAAAGCCCACGCGACAAAAGTTCGGTCCGCATTCTTCGCGCGACTCCAACCTACTGCCAGTCGCACCTGCGCCGAACCCACACCTGCTCTCGTCATACATCGCGCAAGATGCTCGATCTACATCGTGCCGATGCTGCGCCCGACACGAAAATATACTTCTCCCACAGCCTCCTCCCATCTTACATCGACCCGCAAAATGTCTCTACGAAAAAGAAGCCCTTCTCAGCCTTCAACAAGCAGAAATACAGCCATACCGTAGACCTTGTCCTCCCCGAAGAAATATACGAGCTCGTTAAAAATGAGCTGGGCCGCCCCGATGGCCCCGCTAGAACGCAGTATGCTCGGGTTCACATGAAGCTTGGGGAAATCCTCGAGACGGAATTCCTAGACACGTACATCAAGCAGGGGAACATTATGATGCTCAGCGAAGGCCGGCAACTCATTGACGACCGGTTCGAACTATACGAAGGCACTCTGCGTATGGAGCTCACGCGTCCGACGTACGAACGATGCGGCCTACAGGGCATCCCGATCGAAGACGGCGGCAAGAAGCACCAGAAGCAGCGGTGGGTAGTGGAATACGATCTGCGCGCTAGTTCGATGAAGCATGGGAAAAAGGGATTTTCAAGACTGGAGTGGGCGTGCAAGAATGTCCTGGATCGGTCGCTCACCTGGCTCTTCTACAACTTCAATCCTTCTTCTGCTGAGTCGCTTGCTGAGGGTAAGGAACCGATATCAAGACACGCGCCTTGGCTACACAACATGGCACCCGAGGAGACAAGCATGGACAACGTTCTTGTGCCGCAGCTCCCCGTCAGCGACCTCACGAAGCTACATGCTGAAGAAGAAGAGGCGCTCGATCTCCTCGAGTACCTCCACATGCTCCAGCTGAAATCTCCTAGGGTGGAAAAGGGTGACGATATCAACCCGCATCTGGCACGTTACGACGTTCCAGATCTAGGCAAAGGTGTCACTACCAGGAACTTGGTCACAGTGCGATGGAGAGGCTTCATGTCGCCGACGTTTGTGCGCAACCTCTTCCTTACGGTTAGAAAAGAAGGCTCCAAATGTAGGAAGAAGCTCAATGGTACACAAGACACAGACGTGAATATGGAAGGCAACAGCATGGTCAAGGATGAAGAGGTGGGGTGGTTTGTTATGAGCGCTCAAGCTTTTGGAGGCAAGAATGCCTGGACAGTGATGCAGTTTGTAGGGCGCGAGACGCTTGTCTGGGAGACGGAGAACTGAGTTGTGTTGGACGACAGAACACAACTTCGTCCAAGTGCAAATCACCGTACTTCTCACACGGCACTCCCTATCTTCAATCGAAGAACATGCGCCCAATGCCCATCTGCGGACCCCTCATTCGGGAGAAAGAGCCTCATTCCGAGCACAAGCGTTAGGTTTACACTCTCCGGAACAGCGTTCTCGCCGAGAGATCCTTGGCATATATGTACCACCACATTGCAGCTGCCACGCAGTAGATCTACATGGTCGTGCTTCCGAGGACGTGTCTGGGACTCTGCATTATGCAGTCCTCGTAGACATAAGGCACGAGACACGAGACGATCTTCATACTCATTCTTGGTGGCCTCGGATGCAGGGTGTAAGGTGACAAGATGTACGATGTCACGTACATGAGATCTTGTCACTTGCTTACGCGGTGAGCATCGTCACTATCGGTGTGCTTTGACTCGTGGTCGCATGCCTTATGCACCAAGTATGTGAATCTCGTCAGTATGCTTTGATGGCTGCACAATCCGTGAAGAGGTTCAGGACAGCTGCCAGAGCACTACGTTGTTTGACAACAATTTAAACACTTGACTTACATCAAGCAAGCACTTTCTCGACGCGATGTATCAATCAAGTCTTCTTTAGCTATGGTATACGACCGCTCTCTGCACATTGTGATTAGCCATTCGGCAGTCTCTTGCAGTAACTACAATTTGTCGTCTTGGTTCTTTACATTGCTATACCCACTTGCCAGACGTCATCTATTTTAAGCGCACCTAAGCCGCCTTACATCAATATGTAGATGTCTCCTCGGAAAAGCTTTTCAACATGTGACAGCCAACTACGACACCTAATCTCAAATCTTCGCAATAGATGGAACGCTTGAGGTCATCGCTACCACAGATTTCCTGGCATGCTAACTTTAGCATCGATTTCCGTGTTCATGCAGGTAGCCGTGCGAATCGCAATAAAGTTTTGAGATAGAGAAGTCCCAAGACCGGCTGTTGTTTAGAGTTCTTCACTACTCGACAGCCAAGGCTTGGTTCAATAGTCGCCTCGGCGCAACCTTCGGTGCGCGGGATGCCGAACTCAAATGTGGGATATCGAGCGTTTCGAACGTTGAGGCTCCTTATTGCTTTTTGCTCGAACACCGCTGCTCGAGCTTGCGGAGTGGCAACCGAGACGCGTTTCTGGGTCGGTACCAAACACGATGTCACGTTGGCATGTATTGTGACAGGACCCTGCATCTGCTTGATATTCTTATCTCGCTATTGTATTAGGCTTTGGGTTCGAGGTTTGTTTGGCAGACAGATGTGCTATGCTTGTCTCGCACGACAATATGACGCTTCCTACTGGACGTGATCTATGCAGATCTTCTAGTTGCCAAATCCAGGATTCTGAAGGTGACACTACCTCGTCGTACGATCGCATTGCCGCACGTACTGTATGAGCACCTCTGCAATGCTAGTGCGGCTGTACTTTGCAAGTCAGACATGGAAGCAAATCCAAAAACCGCGGGGCTTTCATAGACCTTGACAATCTAGACATGATTGCGGTTCCATGTTAGGCCACCATGAAAGTTGATACTGAGGCCGCAATTCGGAGTCCATCTCGGGGCTTATCCCCAAGTGGCTGCAATCCTGTATGCTTTGGCTGACATGACCCTCATTTCGATGAGGTAGAGTGGAGTATTCGCTATTCGACACGAGAGCCCATATTCCAGTTCAGATTCAGGAGGCAGCGGTCAGCGTGGTACGACTTCGGGGCAATGGTACCGATCACAAAGAATTGTGGCTGTACGAAAAGGATGAACTACACGAGCAAAGAGTCAGCGTCTTCAGTCCAGCATGCTGCCTGGACTCTCATGCTCGTGATCAAAGGGCTTGACGCGGCGTGTTGGAGCAGGCTTCCTCGTGTAGATATGCAGCCAAGTAAGCCTAACCTTCGAGTGGCTGATGACTGAGCTGGGATCGAGTACCTGTCCTGAGTCAGACGCTTAGCAGTCTGCTATTGCTGCAGACTTCAGTCAGCATTGCCTTGCAGATATTGATTTCGAAGGGCCTGAAATACCAAGCAGACGAATAGGAGCGCTTAGAATTGTGATCGAGCGAATTCAACCTTGACATGTACATCTCAGAATTTTCAAGCGCTCAACGAGGGTTCCTTGACTGCCAACTCCACGTACCCACAGCATCGTTGTCCACTCCACGCCTCTGCTTACACTTGGATCGTGATCCGCATTGTATCCCTGATGAGGTAAGGCTGTCAAAAGATGTCACGCACGTACGAGCTTCTATACTCCACATTATGGACTGTTTCTTCATCTCCACGCTCACCGGCTCGGAACTTTTCGGCCAAAGTCTTGGCTACCGTGCTTGGAGACCTAATGTTCGCGGAGCTTCCGCCGAATCAGAACAGCGGTTTAGGTAATCGAGTCCACTTCATGAGCAGAGAGCTGTTTTGTTTTTCGAAGCCATACAGTAGAGGTTTTGTTGCTGTATCATTTGTCACTCGACGTCTGCGAAAAACAACTCTGAAGGCAAAAAGCTTGGTACGTTGAGTAAGCCAGCTAGTTGTTCGCCTGGGGTTCAAGAAGCACTTCGTCTGTTTCCAAGACGGGAAAAGGAAAGCGAAAACACGGTGCCAGGCCACCCGTTGAATGCTTAGCTGCTCGCATGAGAAAAACCAATGACCATGCGACGCTGCAAATACCAAGGCGGTAGTTGGCTACCGTACTCGTGTCGTTTTCGTTCCGATCCGCACCGCTAGTGATTAAGGCCGGCTAAAAATACGCCTCGAGCTTGTGCTCAGGTGAACTGAGAATCCACTGCTCCACCACGCTACGAAATGCGATCGCAAACTTTCAGCTGCTATGTGGGCTTTCGTCTGGCAGAAAGTGCGGGGCGCCTAAGCAACCACCACTCACTTGCGATCAAAGGTAAGCGACTGCATCCAGTTTCGAGGCTGCGTCGGACGATAGGAGGTAAAGTGAACATGCTGTTGGGAGATGCAGGATCCATGCACGCGCAGGAACTTGTTTATTTGGTAGCGAAAGAAAGAAAATAGCTGCTACGACCCCAAAGCCAGTTTAAGCTTTTTAGCCCTTCTCGGGGATAATACGAAAAGTACTGTGACATCGCCATCAGCCCTGACTCACGACGCGAGGTAGAGTGCTCAGACTCCTGTTGGCCGCCTAGGGGGCTAAGGGCCTCTGAGACATACCTAGGTATGGTCGCGGGGCTTACTCTTCTGGGTCTAGAGTACGGAATTATGTCATCTGTGTGGCTTACGCCACATTGTCCATGTTGGTCGCGGAGATGTGCGACGACGGGGAAGCAGGAACTCGGTGCGTGCGCTGTCTTGTCGATGAGCAGTCAGACGGCACGCACTTGCCGTGCCTCCTCCATCGCCATCCATCTCTCATGATGATTCTTCTGGGCCGTTCTCCATGGAGGCTTCAAATTCTTTGACGATGACACGCACATAGGTTCCAAGCGTTCGGACGTCGGAGAGGAGATCCATACCCTGGAGCGATCACACTAGCTTGCATCCCCCACCAAGCTATCAATTAGGTAGACCCACATGATTCGATCTTTGCCACGATACTGCGCGAAAGTGTCTACGCTACGACCTGGAGAGCTGCACGACCCTTGTGTTCCCACTCTCGGGGCTATTGATGTGGCAGAATGCCGGGACTTTGGTTCGTGTCACGTCAGGAGAGGAGGCTGCGCTTGCAATGCTTGCAATGTGCAGGCAGCAGGTAAGCCAGCCATGAACAGGGGTTGACAGCATTGGTTTGTGGGCGTGAGTGTCAGCATGTTAGCGCCGATACCAGGGCGTAAAGGCGGTTGCCGTGGCGTATCAACGGATAAGTTTACTTGAACTTCTTCCACGTTGGTATCCGAGTTCGGTCGTTGCTTGCATGTCGGGGCAGGGTTCTGGAGATGGCGATGATGCATACCGTGTGTGACGTGTTGACAGCTCGAGCAATGCAGGTGGGATGACGATGCAAGGCGGCTGTAGGTAGGCGGCAGTGTCAGTATCACAGAGGCACGACAGATGCAACAGACACATGGCTTGGACATTTTGGTAGAGAAAGAGTCATGAATTCGTCTAACCGGTGCTATGCACATCAGTTGTGATACATGCTATGCGCGCTCGAACAACAGCAAATATAAATCAAATAATTAAAGGCCCGAATCTAACACAGACCATGATTCACTAGAACCGCCAGAAATGACCACCGTGCTTCCTGCAGGCACTCACTGCCGCCGTAGGAGTTACCGTTGTTGTCTTAGTAAATGTGCCGCCGAAAGTGATGACCTTGGTTGTGGTGGCAAAGGCTAGCCTGAACTTGGTTTTTGTCGGAGTTGGCAGCGTAGTGGTCAAAGTCAGAAGGCCGGAGAGAACAGTGGGAGGAGGAAGCGTTGTCGTAGCAGAGGCTGTGAGCAGAACGGTCTCGGTTGTGGTAATAGCTGGCGCAGTCATAGTAGCGACTACTGAGACTGGAGTTCCGTAAGTGACAGTTGTCGTGGGAGCGTCAGGAGCACGGCGATCAAGCTTTCCAGCCTGCTCAGCGCGCCTTTGCTTTGCGGCCTCAATGCGAGCACGCGCCCATTCGTAGTCGACTTCGCGATCGCCCTTGCGGAACAAGCGGTTGTAGTTGGGCATGTGAGTTGGTGTCTCGAGGGCCGCAGGGTGGATCTTGGTGGGAGAGTACGTGCAAGGCTTGTCAGGCCGACCAACATGAGCTGGAGTGGTGCAGGTGGCTGTGACAGTCTTGGTAGTGACACCAACTTGTTTGGTCCAGGAGACCTTAGTGCGGGTCATAGTTTTCGTAGATGTCGTGGTGACTGCCTTGGGCCTCACTGTCTTGATCTTCTTGGCCGTGCCACTGGGTACGGTAACAGTCGAGGTTGGTCCAGCAGTGACAACGTCAGTCGAGGTGGTAATAATAGTTTGAGTCATTGTAGGTGTCTCAGTCATGGACGCAGTCACTGTTGGGGTATATGTGGTAGTGACCGCTGTACCGACGGTCAAGTACAAATCTGGATCGGTCAGTAAGCGTACCATGCGGATCGGGGGATATGCGAAGACGTACCTCTTTGCCACGCGAAAGGCTGGCCATTCTTGCCATCGGCATCGTAACCGTTGTTTCCCATAACGAGAAGGAGCCAATGTCCTGAAACCATCTGGTCCTTCTGGATAGGACATTTCGAGATTTCATTCGTATTGTCAGGGGTTGTAGGGATTTGGTCGCATATGAATTCCGTCTCTCCAGGTGCATCCTCAGGTGCGATGAGCATGACATCGGCCTCACCATCTTTGTTGCAACCTTGGAAGTAAGAGACAGCACTAAAGTCTTCGGTCGATGTTGCATTAATGAAGTAGCTTCCTTCATCGATAAAGTCAACACCATATGAGTAACAGATGGGGCCATCGCTAGGAACGTCGAATTGGGGAGCAGCGTTAACGAAGGTGATGGAGGCGGCAGCCACCGTGAAGAGTACAGAACGAGAGTACATCATGATGGTTACTCAAGCAAATGACTGAAGGTGCAGGTATGATACGCTGGATGTGATATGCAGAGTCAGTGGGCCATGACTTCTTTTGTACCTTGTATGATGATTGAGCTGAGCAGGTTCTTCAAACAATACGGCTTATCTTTTGCGCATACGAACTATGCTCCGACCGCCGAGTAAGCCGGCTTGAATCGAAGATGCAATGAAAATAGTCCAATGAAAATAGTCATGGCAAGTGCTTGATCTAACACTGTCAACACGGAAGCTTGGAAGCGAGCTTGTGACAGACTGGAACATGTGGGCGGGGCAGGCGGTCAGCATGTCGTAAAGACAGTAAAGCAGTGTTCTGCGCCTCATCAGTACCTAGCCCTCGTAAGGCGTCACATCGCTTTGCAGAAGGAAGAAAAGTGGTGCCAAGTGGAGGCAAAGGCATGCGGCCGCTATGGAAGCCACTCGGAGCCTAGTGCCAGCCCGTGCTTGGGTTAGCGCCCATACCCCTGAACCGATCTTAGTGTTCACGTCACTTCACTCGGCCCCAACGTCCGCATATTCTTGCAGCATCCTGCCCGGTCAGTAGAGTTATTCATAGCGATGATAGGCTCGTCAATCGCTTGTCAGCCCGTCCCGCTGTTTCCAGCGCGTTTCCACGAGCTGCGCATGCCGATCCAAGCGTTTGTCAACCAAACTATCACCTCCGCGCTCGTGTCTATTCGTGGGCGCTCACCCCTCTACTGAGATAGTCGCATTCATGTGTGTATCTCAAGCTTTTCTAGCGGCCGGCTTGTCGGCCGTTTACTCGGATGTATGATTTGATCGCCCGAGTCTATCAAGTAAGTTTACAGGTCGGAAGGCCATCCCTGGGCCCGGAGGTCGAGCTACACAGTATGCATGAGAGGCATATCATACCACCTTGCAGGAGGCAAGGGATAACAAGGCCAGACCGACTAGACAATTGTAATGGACCCCATCAAGCTGACGATGGTTCCGATAAGCCCGTGTCTGATCGGGTCCGTACAAGCCACAGCAGGGAAACTGAATATCCACATCTGATGCTCAACGTCAGCAAGGAAATGGAAAGGATATCGCTGCTTCTAAGCTTCTGTCAGCCTGACTCTGATCCCGGATTTTGATGCCATCTTCGAAGAACCAGTGGATCGGAATACGGCTGGTCCATGTGCCTTCGGTTAGCCCTTGCATCTGCCGTATGAAGTTATTCTGGTAACAGAATTAACACTCCATTGGGTCCGCTTGGGTAGTTAGCTTACCTCGGTACCAAATGAGATGGGCTTATTCCCATCTTCCATTTGCGTGGGTCAAGCCACATGGTCCGCACAAGCAATATGCGTTCTCCGTGCTTTTATCACTTCGCAAACAGATTCTGCATCAGGACTAAGACACGCCTTACACTGGCCCATACGCCTCAATCCGACTATACAGTGCGGATTCTTGTCCCCGATAAGCACACGGTAGCTTGGAGTAGCGGCAGTGACGCTGTGGAGTACCGGATCTGCATTTCAATAGATCTTGCATCCGACCAGGGTCTACCATTTTACGCGAGTCTCTAGGATCCTTTACCTCAGAAGGATGTGCAACACGAGTAGGGCCGCTTATCACTCACCGTTCCTAGTAAGTTTGAACTGCCACTGAATTAGCGCTGGCCTGGTCCCTACACACCGGAAGCCTAATGCGGAGTTATATCCGTGCACCGTCTCATGTCTTGGCTTCATCGACTTCGCCTGACAGTCACTCAGTCGCCGATATGCTCGTAATTGATCCACTACCATTGCTGGGCCTCAGCCCATCGGTCTTTGTTTCTACCGACCTCATACATCTGCCTAAACGGCGTTAACGATTAGCTTCAAACGATCGTGATCTTGCAAGTTTCTCCTCGTGTGATAGTACGAAGGAGCATTGCTAGGGCGCCTCCACGTCGATCTGACCACCTGGACCACGCGGGTCCAACTGACATGCAGCAATAAGCGAGAAAAAGTCGGTGTCACGGCTAGAAGGGCTGGCTGACTTCGCCCTGGGCAGTACCCATGGCTAAGCACGCACTGCCGCCACCGTCAATGACTTGTACCTGGGGTGTCTATGGGACGAACTTCATATATAATGGGACCTGTACTCTGGTCAGCCCCTGCCTTGCATTGATTAACTTCAGGGCCCATCCATCGTTCATTGGCCTGGTCAGCATCTCTTCATATATACCGACCACAGTTCCGTTCTTTCCTCGCATTCATATATTGCATTTTATACCACCATGTTGGTTCTTTCATTAGCCGTGTGGCTCTCCTTTGGATCGCTTGCACTCGCTGGTCCACTACGGGCCGAACCGCTCTCAGATGACTTTCCTTCGTATGAACAGATTGTCAAGAGGCAAGACGGTGCTTGCACAAACACAGCACGCACACGAAGCTGCTGGAGCGATGGCTACAGCATTGCCACCGACTTCGATGCTAAGGCCCCTCCGGCCGGAAACACTGTGACAGTAGGTATTTTGCTACATTGCTACCTAGACGCCTGCTAATTACTTCACAGTACAATTTCGAGATTACCAATGTTACCCAGGCCAACCCAGATGGCAGTGGCACCTCGAAAGAGATGATGTTGGTTAACGGCCAATATCCCGGTCCCACTCTACGAGCAAAGTGGGGTGATACTGTAATCATCAATGTTAAGAACAGCCTCGCGCACAACGGAACCGGTATCCACTGGCACGGTCTTAGGCAACTGAACACTTGCCAGAACGACGGAGTTCCTGGAATCACCGAGTGCCCAATTGCACCCGGAAAGACCCGACAGTACAAATGGAGGGCCACTCAGTTTGGCACATCTTGGTACCACTCTCATTTCTCGGCTCAATACGGCGATGGTGTCGTTGGTCCTATCATCATCGATGGTCCTGCCACTGCCAACTACGATGTTGACCTTGGTGCCCTGCCTATAACCGATTGGTACTACAGGCCAGCTTTTACACTCAACGAGATTGCACAGCATTCTACGCGTGGACCTCCCACGCCTGACAATCTCTTGGTCAACGGTACCCATATTAACGCGGCCAACGACAACGGACAGTATGCCAGGATGAACGTAGTCAAGGGAAAGAAATACCGCATCCGCCTCATCAACACAGCTGTAGATAGCACTTTCAGTGTGTCCATGGACGGTCATCCTTTCACCGTCTTGACATCCGACTTTGTGCCTATCAAGCCCTACGTTACCGACCAATTGACCCTGCAGATCGGTCAACGGTACGACGTAGTCATCACTGCCAACCAAACTGTTGACAACTACTGGTTCCGTGTTGCCGTCGGATCATGTGGTAGCAATGCCATGACCACGTCTGGCAAGACACTAGGTGCTATCCTCCACTACGACGGCGCAGCCACAACCGGCAACCCCAAGTCTACCACCACAGTCACCATGCGTACGTCGTGCGACGATGAGCTCTCCAGCAACCTTGTTCCCTTTGTTCCCAACACTGTGCCCAGCACCGTCATGGGAGACGTCCAGGGCCACAAGATGGCGATAGATTCCTTTGCCGACCCCGCCAAGAACAACCTCTTCCGCTGGCTCATTGACGGCACACCGCACATTGTAGACTGGAATGATCCCTCTCTCGAGACTGCTCTCGCCGGATCCAAAGACTTTGGTCCAAACGGCAATGTCTACACCATGGACGGATCTGGCTGGTACATGTGGTGGATCCAATCCACTTCCAAGATCGCACTTCCCCATCCCATCCATCTCCACGGCCACGACTACTATATTGTTGGCCGCGGCTCTGGTACTTGGGACGGTTCCACCAACGGTCTCAACTTCAATAACCCTACGCGTCGTGACACTGCTGTGCTGCCGGCTGGTGGTTACATGCTTATTGCTTTCCCCGCTGATAACCCCGGCATGTGGATTATGCATTGCCATATCGCGTGGCACGCTAGTCAGGGTCTCAGTCTGCAGTTCATGGAGCGCATGGGTGAGATCAAGGGCAAGTTGGGCGATACCAGCATACTCAAGAATGGATGCGACGAGTGGGACTCTTACTGGGCAGAGGGATCAGCTCCCGATGCCGATAGGCCGTACAACCAGACTGACTCTGGTATCTAAGATGCGTTTGAGATGAAGCGTTATGATTTCCTTGATGATTAGAGCTTGGCGTTTCCTGGTTGGGCTGTAAGAAATATTTCCGCTTCAGTGGCAAGCTCGGGTTGGTCTTTACATTCGACTTCTTCGTAAATATTACAATGCACAATATTTCAAATTACAATCGCTTTGACTTCATTGATGCGGTGGGTGACCGTAATTGTGACGGATTGAGCTTCGTGGAAGTATATTCAAGCTTAGAGCTCATCCTTGTTCTCATTCTTGTCCTCATCTTTTCCCTCGTGCGCCGTCGCCTTTGTTCGTGCTTGATCAATAAGGCCCCTCCGTACCATGCTCGTGAGCACCTCGTAAGCGACTTGTGCGGCTGCCATTCCTGTGGTTTCTGCTGAACCATCGTATGCTGGGCTGACTTCAACTATGTCGGCACCAATTACGTTCATGCCTTCAATACCTCGCAGAATGCGAATGAGTTCACGCGTAGTCCAACCACCCGGTTCTGGCGTCCCGGTGCCTGGTGCTAGCCCAGGGTCGATCACATCGATATCGATACTTAGGTAGACTGGCATCTCGGTCCCCACGCGATTCATGATCGAAGTGATGACTCCCTTGACTCCGATCTCATCGATGTCATCTGTTGCAATGCGAATCCAGCCTTGCTGTGAGTCGTCGGTATAGTCCTCTGGCTCGTCACCCGAAAGCCTTGTCCTTAGTCCTGCATGTACACTCGAGTCGTTTGCAATCAGGCCCTCTGTTGATGCGATCCAGAACATACTGCCGTGGTTGAAGAAAGACTGGGTAGAGGGGTCTTCTTGGTCGATCCAAGCAGATGGGTATTTCGCGGGGTGCCATGTGTCCCTAATGATTGGTTTTCAAAGTCAGCATATATTTCATACACACTTAGGGTGGGAAAACGCTTACAGGTGAGCGTCAAAGTGTACTACGGCAATTGGCTGCCCATACACGTCCTTGAGAGCCCTCAGGGCTGGGAGTGCGATGCTGTGATCCCCACCCAACGTGAGCAGTTTCGGCTTCTTAAGATATTGCACACCGCTCTCCGTGCTCTTCTCGGTCGCAGGCCTTCTTCCAAGCTCAAGAAAAGCCTCACTCATCTGTTTCAATGCCAGAGTATTGTCGAAAGGTGTGATTGGTATATCTCCACAGTCTACAATCTTGGCCCATGACGTGTAGGGGTTCAAGTTCGCGCGGGGATTGAAACCACGGAAGGATGTCTGACGGCTTGAACCTGCGCGGATTGCACGTGGTCCAAATCGAGCTCCAGGTCGGTAAGACACGGCGGTATCGAAGGGAGCACCAAGGATGGCGATATCGTATGTCGTCTCTGGGTGCGTCAAGCAGCGCGTGTGCGGTAGGTGGGCGAAGGTCGAGATACCAGAGAACCCCCACTGAGAGCACTTGTGAGCCGAATCCGAACGCTGGTGAAGAAGCAACTTACATCTGTACCCCATTTCCTCTCCAGCTCATCTAAGCGTTCCTGGGAGAAAGCTTGTTCGTCGACATGATGAGTTGCATGTGAAGAGACGCAAGCTGCACTTGCAGCAACGGCTATCCAATTCCACCGCATGATGTCTGTGTAGCACAATCGCAAAGATTGTAGCAAAGGACCATCGGACTGATGTACATGTGGGCTGGCGTGTAGGGCGGACAATTATGTAAACCGCGTCTTATCGTGCGTCGATGTCATTCCGATCCCGCAGCCGGCGTGTTGCGGGGCATCCCAGAAAGGCAGGTCCATCCTCGTGTGTCTGGAGACGATGGCACTCAGTCGAAATTGCGCTTCAGAAGCTAAGAAGAACCACGTCCATGGTGGTTGATAGCATCGAAAAGATCCGACAAGGGATGAGGCGGAGAATGAGTGGTGACGTAGCGGGCTTATCCCGTGAGAGCGCGTCTCGCGCTAAGCCTTTGACGCGACACTCAGGGTACTCTCCAGCTCAGCTCAACTCACGACCGCAGTTCCATCGAGTGACGTATTGCCCATCATATCCGAGCTTCTTCATCTTTGCAGTGCATACTCGCGAAACTATACGACAGAGTTTATTCAAGCGTCGACGCCATGCCCGAGGTCAGGACGCGTACCAGTCGCACGCACATGATGGCTGCTGATATCAAGTAGATCGCAGAAGTTGCGCGCGTTGTTAGCTTCTTGAAGAAACATGCAGTCGGAAAAACTATCGAGGCCGTCAAGGCACAGGAGGACAACGTGCGTTTTTCACATCTGGCTAGAGAAGCTCGACTCACAGTATTCAGATCATCTTTGGAAAGGTCGGCACTTCAGCGACCGCATTCAAGGAGGCCATGACCGGCAAGAAGATAGTTGATGCGCGCCAGCAAGGAAAATACTTTTGGCTGGTCATGGACTCGCCGCCACATCCTTTGATGCACCTTGGAATGGCCGGCTGGATGAAAGTATGTATCACGTTTCTCATTCATTGCACCCAAACTGACAACTTGAAAGTTCAGCAACGATGAATCAGCATACTATCGCCCAACAAAGCCCGAAGAAGCAGAATGGCCACCAAAGTACTGGAAGTTCATCTTGCAATTGAAAGACTCCAAAAACGAAGTCGCGTTGGTGGATGCAAGGCGACTTGCTCGTGTCAGATTAGTCGATGCTGCTGCCGAAGATATGAGGAAGACTACACCACTAAAAGAGAACGGGCCGGATCCTGTCATCGACAAAGACATTTTGACAGTGGATTGGCTGAGTAAGAAACTACGGAGCAAGAAGGTGCCTGTGAAAGCATTGCTTCTTGAGTAAGCATAGACGGATCAATTGTTGTACAGGTTAACTAACGATCGAAAGTCAAGCGAACATCTCGGGTATAGGAAACTGGGTTGGGTAAGTCAAAAACCGATGAGAGCTACGTATCAAGTTCGCTAATCCTTACAGTGACGAGGTCATGTACCAGGCTCGTCTACATCCGGAGCAATACAGCAACACCTTTAGCGACGAGCAGATAAAACGGCTGCACGATGCTATCATGTACGTCTGCGATACCGCGGTAGAGGCCAACGGGGACTCAGATGCCTTTCCCAAAGACTGGTTGATGAAGCACAGGTGGGGCAAAGGCAAAAAGGAAGCACAGAAGCTCCCCACTGGAGAGAAGATTACGTTCCTCAAGGTTGGTGGGCGAACTTCGGCTATCGTACCAAGTGTCCAGAAGAAGACAGCAGCTGTTGCTGGTGACGTATCTGAAAGCGCAGGTGAAGAGGATGCAGAAGAGGAGGCGAAGCCTAAAAAGGGCGGCAAGAGGAAGGCAGAGCCTGTGGAGGGGGAAGACGACGAACCCAAGGAGGCACCAGCCAAGCCAAAGCGAGGGCGCAAGAGTGCGAAGGAGCAAGTCAAGGAAGAGATTAAGGAAGAATCGTCCAACGAAGCAGAAGAGGTCCCAGCCAAGGCCAAGCGAGGACGCAAGAATGCCAAAGAGGAGGCGAAAGATAAGACTGTCGATGCTACGAAGGAGAAGCTACCAGCAAGAACGAAGCCTAGCAGCAAGAAGGCAAAAGCAGATGTCAAAGAGGTCGACGAGGCAGTCGATGAGGAAGCAGCTGATGTAGCGGAGGACACGCAGCCAACGAAGAAACGCAAGACTGCTACGAACGGCACCGCAAAGAAGACCAAGGCTACCGCTAAAGAAGTGACCAAAGGCGAGGAGACGAGTGAAAAGCGGCGATCTGGACGTCTGTCAAAGTAAAGTGTGGGTGGAAAAGTGTCTACATAGTTTCCATAGCTGTATTGTGTGTTTTCAGAATATGTCTCAGCGAAGATGATTTGACGACTTGATGCAGGCGGGGTGTAGAGATGGGCACGTGCATGACGAGTTGGAGGTGCGGGCTAGCACTCGGACATTGAATTTCAGAGCTCCCCACACACGACGTAGTGCCACATCCACCACCAGCCACCAGTACTACGGCTGCTCATCCAACAATCATTGTCGCGATGATATACTGCACCCAATAAATCATCCTTGCATCAACCTCAACCCCGCCCTCCACCACGTCCCAATTGCGTCAACTTGTCCATTCCGACCGGAAGTTGTGCGTAATCGGAACCTCGTCCACGCTTCGCGCCTTGCACACAGCCCACTGTCGCGATGCCGCAACCACTCCCCAGCAAGGAGCAGACGCTCTTCCGATCGCTCGTCAAATTCTACGAGGGCAAGCTTTACAAGAAGGGTAGGCGTCAATTGCAGGACAGGATACACGGCCGCTGACCCCGCCAGGCCTGAAAGCTGCCGAGCAGATCTTGAAGAAGCACCCCACACATGGCGACACCCAAGCGATGAAGGCCCTGATCCTCAACTCTCAGGGCCAGGGCGACGAAGCCTTCGCCCTCTGCAAGGAAGCCCTCCGCAATGACATGAAGTCGCACATTTGCTGGCACGTCTACGGTCTATTATGGCGGTCGGTCAAGAACTACCCAGAGGCAATCAAGTCCTACAAGATGGCCCTGCGCCTCGAACCGGGCTCGCTGAACATTCTCCGCGACCTCGCGCTTCTCCAGTGCCAAGTCCGCGACTACGAAGGATACATTGAGAGCCGGCGGAAGATGATGCAGGAGCGACCGCAACTGCGACAGAACTGGACGGCATTGGCAGTAGCTTACCATCTGTCAGGCAACTATGCCGAGGCCGAGAATATCCTCAAGACGTACGAGGAGACTCTCAAGCAGCCCCCGTCCAAGCTGGACCTCGAGCACTCCGAAGCGACCCTCTACAAGAACCAGATAATATACGAGTCCGGCGACGTCGAGCGTGCGCTGAAGCACCTGGACGAGGTGGTGCGTGTCAGTCTGGATCGCTGCGCCGCGCTGGAATTGAAGGCCAAGTACCTCCTAGAACTCGGACAGAAAGAGGAGGCTGAGAAGGCCTACAGGATTCTCCTGGGCAGGAACAGCGAGTACCGCGCGTACTTCGATGGCTTAGAAAAGTCCCTCGGGCTGGACCGATCCAACGATGCCGATATCGAGAAGCTGAACGAGCTGTACCAGTCTTTCGCTAGCAAGAACGAGCGCAACGATGCTGCGAGGCGGATACCCTTGGACTTCCTTCAGGGCGAGGCTTTCAAGACACAAGTAGACCAATATCTCAGGAGGATGCTGAACAAAGGCGTTCCCTCAACCTTCCCCAACATTAAGTCGCTGTACCAGGATGAGGAGAAGAAGGCAGTCATTGAGGAGCTTGTGCTCGGTTATGCTTCGGAAAAACAGACCAACGGCGAGACCAACGGCGACAACTCTGATCGTTTCGAGCAATCTGTGCTATACTTCCTGGCTCAGCATTACAACTACGTGCAAAGTCGCGACTTGAACAAGGCCATGGAGTACATAGACAAGCTACTTGAGAAGGATCCGAAATCGGTCGACTACAACCAGACAAAGGCCCGGATCTATAAGCACATGGGCGACGTTCAGAAAGCTTCGGAAACGATCAACCATGCGCGAGAGCTCGATGAGAGAGATCGATACATCAACACCAAGTGCGCCAAGTACCAGCTGCGAAACAACGAGAACGAGACAGCGCTGAACACTATGAGTAAATTCACTCGCAACGAGACTGTGGGAGGTCCTCTCGGCGATCTCCACGACATGCAGTGCATGTGGTACCTACTCGAAGATGGCGAGGCATACTTGCGACAAGAGAAATATGGCCTTGCTCTCAAGCGCTTCACAGCTATTGCCGATATCTTTGACATTTGGCATGAGGATCAATTCGACTTCCACAGCTTCTCGCTACGAAAGGGCCAGATTCGTGCTTACATCGATATGGTCAGATGGGAAGATCACCTTCGCGACCATCCTTTCTTCACTAGGGCAGCTACTCAAGCAGTCGAATTATACATACGTTTGGCAGACAACCCCAAGTTCGCGAATACAGACGAGCTTGATTTGGAGAAACTGGATCCTACAGAGCGCAAGAAAGCTGAAAAGAAGGCTAAGAAGGAACGCGAGAAGGCTGAGAAGGCTGAAGCCGAACGCAAGGCGGCAGCTGCAGCAAAAGCAACTGCCAAGGGTGACGATGGTGAGACTAAGAAGGAGGACCAAGATCCAAATGGCGAGAAGCTTCTTCAGACGAAGCAGCCTCTGGAGGACGCACTACGTTTCCTGCAGCCGATGCTCGAGCTAGCACCAAAGAACATCGAAGCTCAGAACGTAGGTTTCGAGGTTTACCTCCGACGAAGTAAGTTCTCTAAACTCACGAACTACTCGATCAGTATGCTAACAGCTATCTAGACAAGTTTCTGCTCGCGTTGAAATGTCTGCAGGCCGCACGAGAAATCGACCCGGAGAACCCCAAGCTGCACGAGCAGAGCGTTCGCTTCCGTCAGGCTCGTAAGTCAAATTCAAGATGCCCCTCCAGTCACACAGCTAACCCTACAGTCGCCAAACCTGCCGAGCCACTCTCATCTCAAGCCTCAGAGGTCATCAAGGACTCGTTCACCACACCGCCCGCGGATGCAGACCTTAAAGCTTACAACGACGACTTCCTTAAAAAGCATTCGCAGAGCGCATCCCATCTGCAGTCGGGATACAATGTCCGATACATCCTGGACAACAGCTCAAAATCTCAGAACGAGCAAGACCTACAGAAGACTCTCGACTCATCGAGCATTACGATAGAAGAAGCCCAGTCTGGGCTTGCGTTGCTCAACCAGTGGGGGAGCGAACAGAAGGTCAAGGACGACTACAGGGCGAAGGCCGCAGGTCGTTGGAGCGATGCTACCGCGTTCAAGAACTAAGAGCGATCTTTTAGCTCAAGTGGAACGCTTCTTGGTTGCATAACTGTATATGTGGTTATGATTTACGCATTCCATCTGATTACACGTCTGGTAGATAACGCGTAGCATATGCATTTGCAAGGCGTCTGAACGCTACACAAAAGCAATGAATAGAAATCAGCAGACCACAACAATGGCAAACGTGAAGTCTAGATCTCCAAAGGATGATCAACAAGATGTCGAGGGTTGCGTCACACGTAGGAAGATCCGAAACGTAAAGGCTTCCGGATGTTCCATCAGCCAATCACAGGTCGCGCAGTACGAAAACTGCCATTCGTGGCTAGCTTCAGGTCCGGTGTGGGGAAGCCTCACAGCCGCACCTTACGAAACATTCAATCTCGAATTCTATGTCCTTTGTACGCTTCAACAGCGTTCCGTATATCGTGTCAGCGTTCGTACTGCCGTATAGACGACCTCAACGTGTCGTAACCTCATCGAGAGCCTTGGCCGCTAACTAAGCGATTACTCCCTACATCTTTTTACGCCACCGTATACACCGTATAGCTACCGGCTTCCGCAGCCGAAAGTCATGGCAACTAGACGATCACACAACAAGACAAGGTTGGGATGTAAGGAGTGTAAGCGGAGGCGTATAAAGGTTAGTAGTCTATACTAGTCTCCTCTTGCATCGTTATGCACACAGGACGGATAACGCCGGCTTGATGCATCTAAACCACGTTACTTGCCCAGTGCCACAGGGTAATCAAGGTGCTTGCCTGGAAGTCATTTCAATATCGACTGGCTTTGAGTTCTTTCGTGAGCTGTGGATCATGGCGTCCCGGAATCTAATAAAGACATGTTACGATGGGCATCATGGGCTTTCAATGCCGTCATCTATGTGGGCTAGAGCAAAGACCTACCTGCAAAAAGACCAAGCACACATTGTTCCATCTCTCATAATACTAATTTGGGCTTTAGTGCGACTGTAAGCACCCATCATGTGGGAATTGCGACAAGAAAGGCGACACATGCAGTTTTCTTATGCTGGCCCCTTCGTCGCGCCTCTCGACAACTTCGACATCACCCGCATCAACACAACAGCTCACCACATCACCATTTCCTACACCAAAGACACCCGAAATCCGAAAACCACCCGCGTATTCGCCGACCAACCTCATCGCATTCAGTAATGAAGTAGCCCTCGCAACGCAAACACCACGTCACACTGAGGTCTTTTTTGATGACTCGCCCCTAGACTTCTCCACCAGCTTAACGACATCTCCTTCCCAACAAGGGTATTTCCCAGAGCTTACTATACCACCTTACCTCCGCTTAGACGATGCCTGGAAAGATGTTCGGGAGCTTCTTCCACCACCACTGCAAGAGGTCTTGTGTCACTACGAGTTCACGACTTCTCTCACTCTCGCAGGCGATGACCCTGCGAAGGCAGCATGGCAGACCTATGTCCCTGAAATGGCGCAAAATCACGACTTCTTAACCAACTGTGTACTCTCAGTCGCCTCTTTACACCTCGGTCGGCTTTACGATCGCAAAGAAGACAAGAAGAGGATGGAAACTTTGGCAGCAGCACGAATGAACAAAGCTTTAGTAAGGTATAGAACGGAGCTCGAGAATGTAACTCAGGAAAATGCCGCAGCACTGTTTGCAAGTTCGACTTTCACAGCCGTGTACCTCTTCCGCACTTCCGCGATAGATATTGAGAATTTACGAGCTTCAATATCGCCAGATACCGTTGTACCGCCACCCGAAATAGTAGACAAGATGTTGTCTTGCGCGCTAAGAACGATTTGGGGACTTCGAGGTCCCCTCACCGTTCTTCTGTCGGGCTGGAATTGGGTCGTAGGAAGTAAAATGCAACCAGTCACAGCACGAGAATGGTGGCCGAAAACCTCTGCGCCAGCGACTCCGCGCGCCCTTACAGAAGACCAACGTCTCGAAGCCATCGAAAAGCTGTGGA